TACGATTTATATTCGGTTATTTGTTTTGTTTTTTCTTTTTTTTTTTCCTGTACCACAAACCTGCCATTATTTTATTTTAATTATGATGATGATTATTGTTTTTTAGTATGGATCAGATCGTTGAAATTTCAAAAATCACTACAACCCAATAATGGTGGCACTGATGAGTGGATTGCGGTTTTTTGTACGTTTGACTGTTCAGAGTCCATTTTTTTTCTTTAGCTTAGTCTTTTTTCCTTTTTCTTATTTGGCAATCAGTTATTTACTGTGCCACGATTATTGTTTAACTTTTGTTTTAATGTTTCTGTGATTCATTTTTGTTGTATTGTGTTTTATGTTCCTGTAATCTATTCGTTTTAATTGTTTCACCTTTTATTTTTTTATACTCTGTAATCCGTTTTTTTATTGTGTTTTATATGCTCTATCCGTCGGATGCTGTTTCCGCCTCCCTGTGTCCAGTCCGTGGGATGCTTGCCCGCCGCGCCGCCTCACCTGTTTCCAACTCCAGCTGACTAGGAGAGGTCGTCAATCCCCGATTTTGACTTTGAAGAAGATGGCTTTGACTTACAGCAAGGCCAAGTGGACTTTGGTTCATTGCAGACAGTTCCATGTTTTTCCTGAGCTAATGTTGACCCTGTTCCTGTGGAAATGTTACCTTACCCCCACTTCCCGAGTTTTGAGGAAAAAGGTTTAATTTCATCAACATGGTTTTGATTGGCTGTGGAGGAGGAACCCCAGTAGTGCACTCCATCACCACCATAACCATCATCACACCAACCATCATCATCATCATCACCATCACCACACCACCCATCATCATCATCACACCACCATCATCATCATCAATCATCATCATCATCATCATCATCATCATCATCATCATCTCATCATCATCATCATCATCATCATCTCATCATCATCATCATCACCACCACCACCACCACCACCATTACCACCATTATCACCACCACCAACCACCACCTACCACACCACTATCACCACCACCACCACTATCACCACCACCACCCATATCACCACCACACCACTACACCACACCACCACCACCACCATCATTACCGACCATTATCACCACCACCACTCATCATTACCACCACCATCAACCACCACCACCACTATCACCAACCACCACTACTATCCCCACCACCACTACTATCACCACCACCACTATCACCACCACCACCACTATCACCACCACCAACCTTACTATAACCACCACAGTCATTATCACCATCACTATCGCCATCACCACTATAGTGATCTAAACATTTTTAGTGGTTAACCCCTTTATTTGTGGAGCGCTATCTCTTGGCCAGCACGCCTCTCCAAGGAAGGCTGGCCCAAAAATGCACTTTTTTAACAATTAACATTTTATCTGTTGTTTTATTGAGGTTTAGTTGGTTTAGTTGTTAGTTTTTAATGTCCTTAATTGTTTTATTTGTATGTTTGTCCGTATGTTTTAGTTCATGATTTTAATCTTTCGTTTATCGTATTTTTGAACTTTATTTGTTCTTATTTTTATCGTTTAAACTTGTTTGTTCTTATTTTTATCGTTGGGAATTAACATGTTTTTAAAATAGAACGAAAAAGATAAGCGTCCGCCATGTTTTTTTTTTTCGGCCGCTCTCGACTTTTGTCTGGCGGGCAGAGTAATCGAGTAGGCCATAGGGTTAACGCTGGACTCTGGATCGCCCTTTTTCTTTTCGAGCTGCAAGACCCACCGAACCGAGAGTTAGTGAATGTTTTGCCACAGAAACCAAAGGCAAACATATATTAAGCTTCGGACTCCCTTGGCCCGTGGGTATTGTAGTGATCTGAACATTTTATGTTTATTGGCCACAGAACCAAAGGCCAATAATGTTTAATAAAATGCTATGTTTTATATGAGCCTTTAAATTTATTTTGCTGACCGTCTCGTCTTTTATTTTATTTGTAG